CGGCCCCGGCCCGGGGGGGACGCGGTGGCTGTGGCGATGTGCTGCGCCCTCCTCCCGCCCGCTCCGCCATGGCCGGTCCGCTCCCACGTCCGCACCACACCCCCTCCCCTCCGGCCCTTCCTGCCCGGCTTGCCCACGCTGTCCCGCGCTCCCGCTCCTCGGCCCGGCTCTTGCATCCCTTCCCTCGCCCTCCCCGTCCCTCTGCGTGGCTCCCCCCGCATTATGTCCATCTTTTTGTCTTCCTGTTTTTTTAGATCCCACCAAAGCTCGGCCTGCCCTCCCCACGCTGCTGGACAGCCCGGCTGGTCGGTGAGCATCTGCTACCCCTCAGTAGGTCGGGCAGAGCGGAGCGTGGAGTCAAAGGGGCTTGCTCCAGGCAGAGTAGAGACCAAACCCCCAAGAAGAAGCTTTAGAGTGTCTCCAAATGCCCTTAAGTCACCAGATCATCAGATCCCTGAGTTGTTCCAGAGCCGGGCTGGGTTTTTCAGGAAGGCTCAGCACTCTTGTAGCCCTGAGGCGTGCAGGCAGCTCTCATGCCCCGGTAGAAGGCCAGGCTGGCCAGCCTTGCTCTGGGGGGCTGTAACTGTGTCAGCACAGTGCTGCTGAGCCTCAGCAGTGCTTTTCCTTGGTGCCTCAATGGCAGCTGAACTCCCAGTTGCTTTTTAGAACAGAAGGTGATAAAGGGGTAGAGAGTTTGTTCAGCACACTGACCTCCAGCTCTGGGGTGGTCCAAGCAGCATCTGGAGCAATTTCTGTCACTGTTTCCATAAAATACTTTAATGTACCCAACTTAAAACCGAATAAATTGTCATCGTTACAAGCTGCATTTCTCCTCCTGGCCATTTTGACATTTGTCCATATATTATGGCTTAGAAATCCATCCAGATCCCAGAACAGCGTTAGACTTCTAAGATTGATGCTAAAATGGACAGAATATCTGCCAGTATTATTCCTGTCTGTGGGGATTGGTATTTGAATCTCCCCAAAACAATGCTTTGAACAGCTCAGCCTTCTACAGCTATGTTGATGGGAATGTTAAAGTCTCAAAGGATCATGCTGCAATCCTCCAAATTTAAGCTGTTTGTTGTGGGGTTTTTGATAGGTTATGAAGCAAGCAGTGTAAGAACACAGGTTTAAAACTTGTTTAAAATATAAGTAAGCTCTCTTCTCCTTCCACCCATGTCTTCCTTCAGGCTTTGGTTTTGCTCTCTGATCAAACCTGCAGAAATAGACACTGTGTATGTTTTCAGATGCACTGTCTGAGCATGTGCTTGTGGAATCTCCAGTTTCTTTGATGTGTTTGGATGCTGCAGACAGACCCACCTCAAACCCCGTTCCTGTCCCACCTCAAACCCCGTTCCTGTCCCACCTCAAACCCCGTTCCTGTCCCACCTCAAACCCCGTTCCTGTCCCACCTCAAACCCAATGACGGTTTTGCCTGACCTCGGGATTTTCCATGTGGCACTACCTGGGCACCTCCACAGGCCAGACTGAGCCTTTCAGCTTTGCAGTTTTGGGGAAGCTTGGGGCAAATCAGCGGGGCAAAGGGTGAAAAGACACATTAACGTCTGCCCATTCTGCACAGTGTCCTCTACACAAGACCTTGTTCTGTTGTCCTGATCTGTCATCGCTGCCATCTCCACTCACCATGAACACAAATGTGCATGTTGTGCTTTAATCTTCCTACCTGTAGTTCAGCCAGGCTGAACCAGGTCACTGTTTGGATAGGAGACCTTCCAGGAGAGTTTACTCACAGTAGGAAACACAGCTCACTTACTGATACATATTTTTCTATTACTGGACCCAGCCTTGAGCCTTCTGGTTCTGGGGATGATGACCCGTAGAAATTCCAGCTTTGAATAGAATAAAAGCAAGTTCTTGGGCATTTCTGATCATGATGGAACTTTTTGCAGTTTACTGCAGAGTAGGAGAGTGTCCTGGCCGAATTCCACCTTGGGTGATTACGTTCAGCTGACTGAAAATGATCAGTAGCAATTGCTGCATTTCACTGTTGGGCAGAGCTCCACACAGGGGTTTAAATCTGTAAAGTGGCTTAGGCTAAAGCAGAAAGGAAAAGAATTACAGAAATGTCCCTTTAACCCTAATTCCTGGAGGCCTTGTGAGTCTTGGCAGACTGCTGTCACATTCCTCTAAATGCCAGTGATCCAGCTGGTGGGGCATTCCTTGGAATGCCTGTCCCCCATCACAGGATGGCTGTCAGAACAGTGGTGCTTTGTGTAGGGCACATACACATCCCCACACATCAAGCAAGGAAACAAACAGAATGGGTGAAAAAAAGAAGTAATAAAAAGAATACTCAAAGTTTTCTTTGTGATGGTGTGGTTCAGGCTGATCCGTGGTTGGTGTTTTGTTCTCAAAAAAGCTGAGTGCTCCTTTGGCTCAAAAAGGTAGAGAAACACTGATGTAAGATATGGAAGGCATAATGGAAGAGTGTTTTCTGTTATATATGCACCCCAATGTATAACAGTTTATTTTTTCTCTCCCTGATTTTTCATCCTTTATTTTGTACCCAGATTTTCTTGCTCCTGTTTGAAATATGCCTTATAACCTTACAAGTTTTCAGAAGACCACTGTGTTTCACTGGGATAAGGAATATTGCATCTGCTTCATAGCAGGAGGATGTTGTATGTGTTACAGCTTAACTTTGTTCTACTTTACACCTAGATAAAGGATGAAGACTGTCTGTACCATTTTGATTACCTCTTCTAGGGTTCAAAGAGAATCATTTCCCCTGACCTCCATTTGCTAATGGCTCAGCCTGATCTAACTGGCACACAGATAAACGTGCTGTTAAACAAAAGTTACAGTAGCAGGAACCATCTCAATGCCCCAAGCTCCTCTGCCCGTGTTGGTGGCTCTCTGTGATCAGCCAAAAGCCGAGCGACGCAGGCCTGAGCGCTGCTCCCGAGGAGTTTGGGTGTGAATGGACAGTGCTGTCACCCCTGAGAGATGAGACAAAGGACCCCGCACCCCGACAGCTCTGCGAGCTCCAAAGATGAGAGTCCTGCACACCGAGTTCCGTGCTTTGTCTCCAGAGTGATCTTCGTTCCTGTTAAGCTCACCTCACTGCTCGTCACGAGTTTTGCTTTTGGGATTTAGACCACTTCATTTTATCCCTCCCGTTTTACACAAAGACTGTTAATAGGACTGTTAGTGGAATGAGCAAAGCCAATACTCACAGGGTTTAACTTTGTACCAATAGCACCTTTTGCCCCAGAATGCCTTACCAATGCCACCCAGCACGCGTGTCCCAGTGTACGACTCGGCCTGACGTTTCCGCTGGCTTAGGCACCCCCTCAGCCTCCCGAGCTGACTTTTAGGGACATTTCCGCACGTAGCATCTCATCCAACCAGTCAGACACCACCTGTCTGCCAGGTCCAGGAGCTCTCTCCGTGAATGTGCTCAGAGCTAAAGACAGCACGCGTGCAGCCGGCGGGCAGATGCCGTCCACCTGAGCTGCGGAGGTGCCCGAGGGATGGCACAGGGAGGGGAGGCTGGCGCTCCTCCCGTGCGGCTCTGGGTGCGGCGCGTGGGGGTTTACTGCGATGAGCACCGCAAAACCTGGCTCGTGGCTGCGGAAGAGGCAAGTGTGTGCTTTGAGCTTCCCCCTGGTTGTAGCGTTGCTGTTTCAGGTGCCTCTGCCAGTAACTGCCTGCTCTGTTTGTTACTTTCCCCCAGGAGGAAGGTATGCTGAGGGCTCGGATCCAAAGAGTTCAGGTTCCCCTGGGTGAGGCGCTGCGACCCAGCCAGCTCCCCCCATCCCGGCTGCCTCACATGTGGCAGCTGTCCCAGGGTGAGCAGTACAGGGATAGTAACTCTCGCGTTTGGGAGATAGAGCACCATCTCATGGTAAGGATGGTGGCAACAATAGACCATAGTCATGCCTGTTTGTGAAGTCATTTGAGATCCTTGAGGGACGGCAAAGGACTGTTATTTTGCTGAAGTCCATTAGCTCAACCACAGTAACTGTAGACGTATTGAACTTTTCCTTGTCACTTACAGCTTGGTGGTGTTGAAGAACTGCTGCTTAAACTCGTGCCTGGGGATTAATCTGGTATGTGCAGACATTACCCCTGCTTTTTACTGTGCACTGTTTGCTCCTAGTCTTTCTTTAATGTGAATTTTTGTTTTTCAGGAGCAGTGGCTCTAGGAAGATGCCATTGTCTGTTTTGTACAATAAAAGGTTCTCTCTCCACTGAAATGCAGCCACCTTTGAGGTGGAAGCAGTTAAACAACACGCAGCAACATCACACAGGAGTTTAGGACAGGCAGTGAAGAGGAGTATTGTGACCAAGTGAAACATCAGGGGGACTTCTAGGTAGGCAGAATGTAATTGCCCCAAGTGGACTTTGGCCAGGATGCTGCAAATAATGCCCTAGTGATACTGGAAACCGCTGTGGGTTGGTGACTTCTCAGAAATTGGAAAGGCAGCAGCTCCCAGCTCTGAGGAGAGGCTGAACTGTGGCTCAGAGGGGTCAGTCTCACCACCACTTTCGTTGATACTTGTGCTTTCCTTAGAGGTCTCCCATTCAACTACTGGTACCACCAGCTTTTGCTTGGCTTTTGATCTTACATTGACACTGTTACAGTGCCACAGCTGCAGAAAAATGAAGTAACTTGAGTGTCTGAAATGCTTTTCTGATGGATTTGAACAAGATGGAGCTGTTCTCCAAGCTGGTTGAGGGGTTTTTTGGACACAAGGAGAGGATTTCTGAGAGACTTTCTCCTGAAACAAAATGAAAGAAGCCCTTCTTGTTGGCTTTATGGCACGTACACAACTGAGTTTTTGATTGTTTTTTTAAATGCCTTCTCCAGCTGCAGTTCCAGGACTTGCCACCAAATCCTTGGTTGTGTAAAGCTCACAGGGGTGGATTTCACATAAATACGTGTCTCAGGATAAGGTCTAGAGATGGAAAACTTAAAATTTAACCAGCTGTGTTGAGTCTTTTCTGGAATCTTTGTACATCCAAGTGGAAAAGGACACATTTTAACTAGACGAAAGAAAAAGGCTTTTAAACTTTGTGACAGAAAACTTCCCATATTCATTGTTCCCATCATCATCTTTTAGCCAGACACAGAGAGTTCTTGTGTATGTTGGCAGGCATCTGCAAGCAGCAGTAAATGTTTTTCTGAATGATGACAGTGGGGGAAATTGGGAGCTCCTGAAAGATGTGGCTGTAGGACATTGTCTTTCCCCCACCCCCTGAAAAGATCCTTGATCTGCAGTAACATTTTCCTGTTATTTTAGCTCCTGAACATGTCCCGGAAGGATCCCTGCCAGAAACAAGCCTGTGAAATACAGAAATGCTTGCAAGGTACCAAGTATCATACTGTCTTTGGTGTCTTGATTTTTGGTGGAACTTAATTCTTTTAACTTAACCTTGTTGTCCTTTCACCTTGAGAAGGAATGAAGCACATTAGCATCACCTGGTTGCAAAATGAACAAAATTATAACACCTGATTTTAATAGAATTGCTTTATGCTTAATTGTAAATAATGAGACATCGTTAGTATAAAACAGAGCATTAGTAACAGTAATGTGCTTGGAGTGTTCTCCATGGTGGCAGTGAAATCCCAGCTGTATTTTTGAGACTCAGCTGTGGGCAGGGAGAGCTAGACATTATAATAAGCTCTTTTACAGCATGGTTAGTGAGAGAGTAGGTGGATTGTGTGAGAAGACTGCAGAACTGCTCCAGGGGTGTTTCAAGAGCAGATGAGACAGAAGTCTGTCAGGAGCAGGTTAGGTGATCTGTCCTCAAGGTATGAGATGGTCTCCATGTCCCCAGTATTTGTCTAGAGACTACCTTTTACTGTCCTCATGGTATGGAGCATTCTGCCACAAAGGACTACCTTCTCTCCCTGTACCTAAAAGCGGATGGTTGACCCTGTTTTGTTCCCATCTGTGACAGTGTTCTTTTTATAACATTTGTGGAAATTATTCCAAGTGTTTTGCCTGTGTAGGTTTGTGAATGGTTAAGTGTTGGCAGAGAAGCTCTTTGCTGCATGTACACTTCACTGTCACTGCTTCTCAAGCTGTCATTTTGGAGTGCTGCTGTTCCTGTATTGTGCTGTGGAGTTGTCTGATGTGCACAGATGAAGCAGCTGAATTGACAGAGCAAAGCAGTTTTTCCCTGTAAAAATTAAAGTACAGAGCTTGAACTGAGGAATGCACAGCCACTGTACCCAGTGAGATGTACACTGTGAGATGGAGGGTGGGAGCTGAACCTTTGGAAGATGCTGACTTCTCAAAAGTCATTGTTCCAAAAGATCTTGCTGCTTCCTCTGTGAGACTGAATGCCTGCTGTAAATCTCTTTTGTGTTTTCCTATCTGTGTGACTTTCAGGAATGCTTCCTTGACAGATAACAGTGTGCCTGTACATAGCTACAGTTTTAGAAACAAAAGCTGCACAGGCAGAGGGACAGTTAGGAGAGCCCTGGAGCACTCATCAGTGGCAGGTTATGGCAGAGAGAGATCAGCTCTCCTCACCAAGGGCCTGCTGTGCCTCCTGGGCTGCCAGCTTGCAGAAATAACCACAACCTTTTTCTCAGGGGTGATCTCTGTGTTTGTATTGCAGCTCACTCACCAACCCAGTCAGGGAATTCATAGCCCAGTGATCACAGCAGTGTGGTTTGTTCATTAACCAGAAGGTGTTCACTGCCGCTTTTTTGGGCTCTCCATGAGTGCTGTGTGTCTCACATTACGCTGCTGTTGCTTTAATCTTTTAAAAGTCAGTGTGAGTGTGAGTGCAGCTGTGTAGTGGTTGCAGAGCTCATCCAAGGCAGAGCAGGTGGCCCTGCATGCCCTGTGTTTTGGGCAGACAGGCAGGTGATTCTTAACTCAAACCAGACTCAGTCTCTTCCTGCAGGGCTCCTCTCCGAGAGCCTTTGGCTATAGCTTTAGATAGCTGGAACTAAAGAGAGCTTTTTGTGAGCAAGAAAATGATGGAATGCTTGTAAGCAGCTGCAGGGCTGGGCTAGGTGTGCACCCTCAGGGAACAAAGCCTTTTCTTCTCTGCAGACCCGGTGTCTCCTTATTTTCCAGCAAACAACTACCTGGAGTCCAAGTGTGAAGCTGCACTTCAGGAGATGCGGAAATGCTGCGCTCGGTACCCCAAGGGCAGATCCATCTGTTGTTCAGGGTTTGAGAGAGAAGAAAGGGAGAGAGAAAAGGTTAAGTTGACTTCAGAAGGAATTTCCCCACCACCTCAGTAACACAATGCAGCTCCAGCAGGTGCTGGAGCATGGACTCACTTGAAGAGCTCATGTGTGTTTTTTCAAGCCTTCTTTAGACTTTCAGAAAAGCCAGATTGCTCCTGGAACACACCGTTCAGCACACCAAAAAGCATTACACAGTACCAACATATGGCCTGGTTAACAAACTTTATTTTCTGTATGAAAACATAATCTATGTTGCCTCTGCATCACACCTGTGAAATGTCAACTTGATGTTTTTAGGATGCTTACCTTACTCTAATCCATCCTTGCTCTAAAAATGGAGAATTGGAACAGTTATTCTGGCTTCTGGAGTGAGAGGTACAGGAAATGAGCTCAGAAGAGTGAGTTTAAACATGAAGCCCATCTTGATAAAACAAAGGTATTGCTGCCACCATGCAGTAGTTCCAGACAACATTTGCCTGTCCAGTGGTTCAAGCTCAAGAATGGGAATCAGGTCTGATGATTGTTCCTAAGTCTTGCATAGATCATGAGTGACTACAAGTCACTTTGCCTAAGTGCCTCACTTTTCCACTGGACAGAGTTTATTTTATATTTGAATTGACTACACGCTGCTATTTGCATGATAAAGATGTTACAGGAATATTATTTCAGGGATTGCTACAGGGATAGGATATTTTTTTAAAAAAGCAATATTCATTTGAAAGATTTGACTGTTGATACAAAATTTATAAATTTATGTCTAATTGAACACCTTTAAGCAATATGCTTTGAATCCAAGTTTAATTAAAACTGCTGATACCCAAAGGCCTATCACAGAGCCCTGGGCTAGATCCAAGAACTGACTTAGGTGCTGCTTACTAAACAAGCAGTTGTAGGCAGTTATTTTCCACACAGCATTCCAGACTCACTCCCAAGCTGGCTGTGTCTGGACCCCAGGAGAGATGGCTTTCCAGAAGCTCTTGGCCATGCAGCAGAATTTCCTGTGACCTGTAGGAAGAGCTCATAGACAGGTTCCTGCACCACCCTTCAGAGCTGCCTGTCTCGCTGTCCCCTGTAGCAGGAGTCCAGGCACCCAAATATCAGGCTCCCAACCCACTAGCCCTAACTCTGTATTAGATCTAGCCGTAAAGGACTTTTGTGCTGTGATCAAGTACAACTTAATTATGAAATAGAGCTTCTATAAACCACTGAGGTCTAGGCACAATAGTTGTGTGTACTGAAGCCTAGAAGAGCAAACCATCTGTATTCACTGCTCTGAAATACCATGGTACAAAATAAACGACTGGAACAAATTGTGATCTCTGGTTGTTTGTTGAGCTGCAAGCCAGGTGGCTTGGCTGCCATTCACAGCCCAGAACCACGTGTGATCATGTTTAAATAGAAGCTGCTTGATATTTTTATAACTGGGACTGAAGTTCAGAATAATCTAGGGCTTGTCTTCCCCTCCTATTGCCCTCCCAGAAAAAACCCTTAAGACAAAACAGGGGGTTTAGTGTCCCTGAAAAGTAGGGAAAAGTGATGACAATGTTGTGAACCACCTCAAACACTGACATGTAGCTCAGTTTTCTCTTTTGCCCTATCTGAGCAGGAACAGTGGAAAGAAAGTCACTAATAGATGATAAAGTATATATATTTATATATATATATATGAAAAAGAAATAGCCTTGTCTCCATGCCCATTTGAAGTTGGGTGGAACAAATTTGCTCAGCAGAGGCTACACAGGCTGGCTACAGACCCACCTCCTGCCCTAGGATTCCCATTTCTTGGGAATACGGGTGATCAATGCCAGGATGATCAGCGAGACGGATTTATTAAGGTAGCCCAGGTTACCTGCATGGATGAGGGGAGGCTTGTGCCCTTACAGAATGGTTTATGTTGGAAAAGACCTTTAAGATCGAGTCAAACCATTTCCCCAGCACTGCCAAGCTGACCACTAACCCATGTCCCCATGTGCTACCTGCTACACTCCTGCTGCTGCTCTGGCTGTAGATGCTCCCCTCAGTCAGTGAGACAGGAACGTGCTGCTTCCCAGGAAGCCAACAAACCTCACACAGAGAAGCATTTAGAGCAAAACTGTTTAATAAAATATCACTTCAACATTTCAAGCATTTACATATAATATATAAAACCACTTTAAAAGCTTAATGTGTTTGAAATCTTCTCATAGTGTAACATGTCAGAATTTGTTGAAACACGACTAAAAGAAGCAGGAGTGGGGAAGGGACACCTCATCTTGGCACCTGCAGCAATGAAAACGCATCCCCACAGAGACTGATTCAGCATCAAACCTTCCAGTGTGGACCCACAGCATCAAACAGTACAGCCACGAGCCAACACCAGCACAGCAGAAAGATTTGCCACATCCTGATGTCCTTGTCCATACCCTGCCTACATTCACATCAAACTCAGCATAAATCTGTTAACTGTTTCCCCTTGCAGCAGCAATACAAGCATTTTAGCTCCCTCTCTGGGTCGTTTCTCTCTGTAGCAGCAAACTGGGACTTGAGCAGAACTCACCCCACCTAGGGTAAGGCAGAAGTAGTGAATTATTTGAGCCCAAAAAACAACCCTAAGGTATGTTAATTATTTCCTTTGAGCTTTGTCGTTGTAGACAGCTTTGTGGAGATCAGTGCATCTCATAAGTTGTGTTCTGCAGCCAAAGAGCAGCAATGCTGTTGTCCTACAGGAACAAGGGATACCCTGCAAGACCAATGTATCAATTTATGCATGTTCATGTCTGCAGATCCTACAGAAAAGCAAACCAAATCCCAAAAAAACTCACTATCTGTCACTCCATTGCTAAATACCAATTTACTGAAGACCTATTTGCTGCATGCCATCACTCCTGCAGTCAAACATGGCCTTTAGGAAGGCCATTGTTAAAAGGATTTTACAGTGAGACCAGCTGCTCCTTCATTCTCTTCATTCATGGCAGGACAGGAGCAAAGACAGCAACTTCTGCCTCTTAATTACCTGCAGCCTCTTTCCAGATCCTGAAGGTAAGAAAAGCAGCTTACTCAACGTGCTGCTACATGGATGCTTCAATCAACGGAGCTGAAACAAAATTACCAAGTGCTCATGCTCGTTCCAAACCCTCTGGTGGAAGAACACACCATTTCAGCTCTGCCAGCAGCTCCCAGGGGAAGATCCCCCTTCCAGCCATACTGAGAGCAGATCACAGAGCCATTGCACAGTACTGGAAATGGGGTGCAGCTGCTGAGCCAGGTGCTGCTAACCACCCACCCATGAGTGTCATTATTCCCTACCACATTCCTCACTGAAGGATGAGCAGACTTTCCTATAAAACCCCACATTCTGGGCAAGAACTCCACCCTATACCTGCTGGAGGACATCACCATGTTGTCAGGCAAGTCTCTATGCTCACAGAATACCTCTGGGGGATTTTTGTACTACACACAACCGTGCTGAGTCAGACTGCCCAAAAACAGCTGAGCTCTGCACCTGGGCTGCCCCATCTCCTGCAGGAGAAGGGCTGCAGCTGATAGAACTAAGCAAACAGCTCTTCTTGTGAAAATGGCAAACACAAAGAAAGAAAGAACAAAACTGAGGTGGAAATATGCAAATGAACCGCTCTCACAAGAGCACAGTCTGGTTTTCACAAAAGTTTTGTCATTTCAGTTGCCTGCAGAAACCAGGGAGAAGGAATTTGTGCTCTTCAGAGGCAGATAAAGGACTGCACTCCTGATTTCACCTCACCCCCCTTTCTCCAGTAGAGCTGGCAACAGGGACCTGGACCAGTACAATGTACCCTAAGTAGGGATGCAGTTCCTGTCTACAATCCTGTCCTACACAGTTACAGCTCAACAAGCATCACCAACACCAAAGCAACCAGAGAAGGTCGTGGTAGACATGGAAACCCCAGTCAGAGGCCCAGGGTGATTTACAGTAAGTGGAACAGCTGAAATGCCCCTGTCTGACACAGCCAGGCTGGACCTGCTGGAAGCAGGAGAGAGCCTCAAATGCTGAGCAGTCAGGTGGCTCTACAGCACAGAACTCGGTGACTTTCAGAACACATGATGAGGAAAGGGCCTGGAGAGTCAGCCTCAGTGCTCAGTTTCCATCAGCAGTGCCAGTGCTGCAGCTCCAGTAGGGGGAAGGATACCAGCAGAGACAAAGCCAAATGGCCATCTATGTGCAGTGCAACAACAGGAGGAGGGCAGGAAAATCCATATTCCCCTGTCCTGGACACAGCTCAGGCTGTCCTCTGACACTTCTGCATCCACTCCAGGACAGTCAACCACATTTTGGACTGCACAGACCACCACTGTGCAGAGGGAAGCAGAGGTTTTCCAGGTACCAGGGCAGGAATACTGAAAGCTAAGTTGTGGTGAAGAGCTTACAGCTCTGGCAGACAAAGGTACACAGAACAGTCCTGAGCACCTGGAAGAAGCACATTTAAGAGGTTTCTCTGCCACTACATTTTTATGAAGTTGAAACTCATCAGAAAATTTGAGACTGGGCATATTTGGTGGGAAATCATGATACAGTGGGAGTTGTAAGCTTCCAGACCAACCCTGGCACACTAAGAGCCCAGACAGAAGAAAAATGTGGAAATCAGAAGCAGCGTTGTAAGAAGTAAGGGCTGGAACCTGTGAGCAGATGGGACTGAGTCTGTTGGCAACATCCTTTGACTTCTAAGTGAGAGATAACAGCAGTAGAGGAGGAGAGGGGTGGCTGGGCATAAGAGGAGAGTGCAGCTTCTAGGATGCCATTCCAAGCAGGAATCCTCCAGCAAATCCTCCAGTCAGGATAACATTCTTCTTCAGAAATATGATCACCTAAGCAGGGATGAGAAGAGACAACAGTGTTCAACAACATCAGGCCACCCACTGACCTTCCTGCTAAGAAGAAATCCCTCAGGCTGTTCTTTGAGGCAAGTGATGCTCACAGAGATGCCACTGCTCAGATTTGGGAAAAGCTTCCTACCTAACGACCTCTCCTCTCTAAATGCAACAGCACACAGCCACATCTTCCACCTGCTCAGCCATGAGCAGTCAGGTCCTCCAGGAGAATGCTATGGGAAATGACATCTTCCTAAACTTTAGGTAGACAACACCCATAGCTTTTGCCATCTCTCCCATTTTGCTGTCATGCAAGAATTCCCTCCTTGTATTTGCACAGCTGAACATCCATAACAGCTCAGGAGTAAATCCTGTTTTCTGCTGTCCCTCCAGCACATGTCCTGGGAGAGCTGTCTCACCTCATCCACTCTGCTTTTCACTTCTGGAGGCATTTTATTACCACTGCTGTGAAATTTCAGCTGCTGCTTGGCTTTGTTCATGTCCCGTTGTACTAGATTCCAGTCCACCTTGATGTAACCCGTGTGGTTTGCAATCTAGAGTTTTGAGAATTAGAAAAAAGTTCTTAAAGTCCTGCATGACCATGGCTAAACAGACCCACCTTCCCTGACCACAGCCACCTCCCACTCCAGTCCTGTCCAGTGGGCACACTGGCTTAAAAATTGGACAGAACACCACCCCTGGTGCTGTGTCAAGTGTTCTGCAACATGTCACCCACAGTAATCCCCCAACAGCTGGGCACACACTGCACCTTAGCCTGCTTCAGCCTCTCTTCCCCAGTGTAAAGCTGGCATTACCTCCCCCTCTCAACTGCCATGGATATTGTTAGGACTCCCTGCAGTTCTCCTGCTGCTGTGGGTGGACACAGCTATTAATAGCCCATTCCTTTCAAACTCTTTTATCTGCTCAGGGTGATTCAGCTGTGGAACTCCCTCTGCCCAGAGCAAGCTTCTGACTTTAAGCATAACAAGCAGAAGCAGGAGAGTGAGGGAGAATGAGTCACACACAAGACCTGTCTGCCGGAGGAGCAAACAGGTGAGAGCTGAACAAGGCCTGACAGCTGCTCTACCTGCTCCAGGATGCACCAGGAACATCCCAGGAGCTTCACTCAGTGCCAGGGCTCTTGGAAACCAGCAGAATTGGTAGGGAACAGAGAGAGATCTCCTTTCTCTCCTCCTCCCCAGTGCAGTGAGCCCCATCTGTGCTGACTGGACTCCTCAGGAAGCCAGGCTGGCACAAAGCATATCCAAGATATGGGTAAATCCTTCTCAACATCCAGGGCTGTTCCTCCAGGGACAGTATGTCCACAGGCAAAGCACTGAGCATGGTAGCCTGTCCTGCAGAGCAGCACGGCTCACTGCAGCTGAAGGCTGTCTCATGCTCCACTCAGTTGCCCCTGCAGTAACAGCTCTCCTGTGCCTCTGGCCTGGCCTTTGGTAGCAGATCCTCAGTGGATGTGCACTGGCATTCCT